AAGGAAAGGGTGCAACTTTAGGGTATCTCTCCCTACTTCTGGAGACACCGGCAGCACAGGACCAAGTCCAGTCCCTTCTCTATAGCCTTGTCCTGCATCCTCTTTCCTAGGCCAGTTGTGGTCCACCCCCAAGAAAGAAAACACGCCCCACATTCAACTATTTCTTTTTAAAATCAGGATGGCTGCATGCTGAGACTGGACGGTGAGCTGTACTTTAGGAGTACTTGACCTGCCCTACCGCTGCATCCCTTCTCTTCCCACTGCAACATTACAGTTGCAAACTCATACATTGGCTCCAACGGAGCCGAGCTCAGGAGCCAAAGTTCCATTTGGATGCCAGGAAGTACTTCCTGACAGTCAGGACCCCGAGGGTCTGGAATGGGCTTGCACGGGAGATGGTTGAGGCCCCATCGGTGCGGGTGTCCAAGGATAGGCTGGTAGGCATGTCATGAGTGTAGCCGGCTGGGGCCGGGGGTCAGACCAGATGACCCGGGAGCCCCTTCTGACTCGCTCTGTTTCTATTTTTAGACAGAAAAGGAGTCCTACAACTCTCTGCAATCCCCACCCAGCCAGGACTCAGCTAACAACCCTTCCGATTGCTTAACCAAAGAGCAGATGCAGACACAGAAATATATTTGCCTCCCTCAGTCAGACCATTTCTCCTTGTCTCCACCCCCCCACCCCAGAGGATGCTTCTTCTAAGATAAGCCGACTGCAAAACACGTTTACATGCTTAGAGCACAACCACAAATACCTTGCTTCAGAGATGCCACTTTTGTCAGCATGCGCGTTGCTGCCATGCCTGACCCAGTGAACAACTATGCTGCGACGTGTGGAATCAGGCCGTAGCAATGATATCAGGCCATGTTTGGAGAGAGAGTCAGTGCACTGCCAGTGCTTGAGTTCATTTCACTGCACGGCGTAGAGGACCCCTGCGGAGGAGAAGACATTTCGGGAAGCGCAAGGCTGAGGGACGATGTGGCAATGCTGCCATCTAGTGGTCGTTTTGTGGAGTGGCAGATGCGCGCGGAATTTTGCTATCCGTACGAAGAGTCAGGCAGAAGGATACGTAGACCGTAATGGCAGAGCTCTGGGTGAACTACTGTCGACCAGCTGACTTCCACTTGATTGGGCCGGCGAGTCTCTGATTTCCAAACAACAGCTGGGCAGGTATCTCCAGTCTGGTTGGAAGCAACCCTAAGAAGGGGATCTCAGACCCTGTGTCCTCCAACACCACGACCCTATGGGCTGGTATCCCCTTTCCCAGCACCGGGATCAGTACAGCAGTTGGTACGCAGCTATCTGTTCAGTTCTGGTACTCAGAACAAACACCTGGGCTCCAAATTCTTTAATTCAAAGGTGGCTCTGCAAAAGTGTGCACTTGATCTTAATTATTCTTTTTTGTTTTCTTTACTGCATCAAATGCCACATTAGCACCTCTTGCCAAACCTCTCACCTGTGCTTAGGTCAGACATGTAAAAATCAAATTTTCTCAGAAGCTTCCAATATCAAAATTGCCTACCTGGGTCAAAACCAGAGCTGTCCAGTCCCAAGCTTTTGACCTTTCCCATGGTTTGCAAAAAGCTTGCTAAGGTGTACATCAAACAGCAGCTGCAGTTTGGAATAATTCAGATGTTGCCACATAGGTGCACTTTGCAAGCAGGTGTGTTAATGCCAGTTGGAGGTTTGCATGTAACTACCACTGACATTTGTCTTTTGGCCCTTATAGTAGCAAAAGCTTTTGCATGCAGCTGCTGTCCTTGCATCTGTATTCATTGGAATAAGATTGCTGGAAGTAGCAAACAGCTGACAGAAGCAAGCAGTTCGGGCAAGCTGGGTGTTTCATCCTGTTTTGTTTTTAGAGTTCCTCGTCGCTTGGTTTGCCACAGCTGCCATCCAGGAAACTCTGGTCCAGCCATTGCTTGCTCCCATGAATATTTTGCATGCTCTGTACGAAGTCCTGAGCTGACATAGTGTAGAAGTCAGGCTTAGCGGGAGCTACAGGATTGCTTGAGTTCTACTCCAGGGAAGACTGATACAAGCCCAAGTCTATGAGAAACATCTTCTGGTGCTTTCAGGCACATGTCAAGGATGCAATAGGTGAGAAAGCAGGCAGGGCAGGCAGAGAGAAATCTGACAGCTAAGCCATTCCAAAGGATGCAAAGCCACCCTCTCTTGCAATTGCAGCAAGGATATTTAGGAGGCTTGGAGAAAGAAATGATTTGGTGGACAGTGGATTCTGGAAGGACATAGGCTCTTTAAAGTGGAAAAAATATCCTCAAAGACAGATTAAGCCAGTTAGCTTCTGTTCAGCTGTCCACCAGAATGCGGGTTCAAGCAGATACACAGATGTACCTAGCAGATGAAATCTTCATTGCTCTGAGGTTGTGCTGTTGTAACAGGAATGCATTGAACGTTTATTTTCACTATTTATGTATTGTTATATTTCTATCCCGCCTTTTCCCTCATGCGAGGAACCCAAGGAAAATGACACAGTATTCCTCCTTCCATTCCATCTTCAAAACAACCCTGTGACGTAGGTCAGGCTAAGAGTCAGAATCCAGCCCAAAGTCACCCAGTAAGTGTCATGGCTGAGGAGCGGCTAGAATCCAGGTCTACGGAGTCCTAGCCCAAAACTCCAACCACTACACCACATTTGTTCTTGCTTTTTCCGAAAACTTAAAGGGAGAGTTTTCTCAAAGTGGACATAAATTAACTTTCACTGCTGAATATCCTTTTAAAATATGAGCTCACACAGTTATGGGAAAATTTAGAATCCACCCTTACACTCTTTGAACTTTCCTGTTCTCTTCTTGATTTCCCCTGCTTAAAGAAGGTCCCAGAAAGATGGGAGTCTTGATTGCTTGGACTGTCTTAAAGTATTCTTCCAAACTTACTTTAATAAACCCTTGGAAGTCTGGCTGAAGAGACCAGAAATTCCAGAGTACCGTCTACAACTGGCAAAACTAATGAAAATCAGGACCACCTAGAATCAGAAACTGTGAACAGTGTTCTCTTAGGTCAAAGGGAAAGCAAAGGCATGGGAATGGGAAGGGGAACAGAAAGCACGGTGTTCCAGTGCCGTCCACAAGCATTTTGCAGGCAGAACATTTGCTCTGTTGCGTATTTCTCTCAAAGCAAAATATTTATTTACTTGCAAACAGCCAGTGGTCAAATGCTCTCTCCAGACACATTTCATCCTTGCCAGAATTGCTTGACCCAGCTGGGCTCTCCTTAACAAAGCTGATATTTGCCCAGGACAGAGAAAGAAAGCCAGTGAGTGGGAAGCAGAGGGGAGGGGAAAGCAATCTCCGTAGCTTCGCAGCTAGCTCCTAGGACCGACCTGGAGCCTTCCTCCTTTTCTCCCTTGTGTGTGTAGCTTTTTGCTGCACAAGGAGGCACCTAGTAATAAACCACTGGGAAGAAGATTTCGTGGAGCACATTTGTTATCACTCAAAGAGGGCTTCGCCTCCGCCAGCATCCATAGGAAGCCGCTGCACACTTGAGCAAACCACTGGAAGCCTGCTCAGAACGCCTCCTTCCAGAAGCCTGCTTGGAGGGTACAAAGAATGGAGGATTCCCATTGTGCACCTCCATCTCCAGGACATCCCCACGTATCTCCCTTTGGCTTTTACAAGGACAGCAATTGGCTTCATCACTTTGGAGGGATCCAGAAGGGTGGCCTGTTAATGTTTCACAGATAAAAGGGAAACGAAATGTGACGCTAAAGCTGTTTTGCTGGTGGTACTATTATCCCTAAGAGTATCGTTATTGATTGATTTCGTTTCTCTGCTGCCCCATAGCTGAAGCTGATCAGGGTGTGCGTGCAAATCTCTGTTACACCAAATGGAAAACAGGTGGAATGGTGACCAGTGCTGTCTTCTGCAGGATGACTCAGATCACTCCCACCATGTGGCTGCAGATCTGCCTTGCAGTCTCCTTCCCAACCCGCACCCCCCAGCCACAGCTGGCATGGAAAGGACCGCACCGGCTGCATTTCTGGAGTTGTACGAGTGACCTCAGGGGTGTTTGGGGGCTCAGAGGAGAGGAAACTGATGCTGCAAAGGTACAATTTGTGGGGCAGAAGAAATATCCAGGCAAACTTCCTCTCCACCGACCTCCTGCCCTCTCTAGGATGCCCATAATCCTCCAGATTTGGAGGGTTGCAAGCATCCTTATTAGAGTCATGCCCTGGTACAGGTACAATAAAATGCTGGACCCTGTAAAATACCTGGCAGCAACACCCCATCATATGCCATCAAACAGCTGGGACTAGAGGACAGTTGTGACCTGATGCAGAAAAGGTGACAGTGTTGGCACCAGGTGGACCTCAGTGAGGAGAGCATTCCATAACCAAAATAAGGATCTGGTTTCTTCTACACCCATTCATTTCTCAGGAATGGCCATCCTTTCATCTCACTTTTTGCACGGGATCCAGATGGTGCAATTGTGAAATGCTTGCATTCCAGTAGTTTATGCCTGCCCTTCAATGCTTCTTCAGGCTTTATTTGTATTAACATATTTTTTCAATAAAATGCAGTAGTAGTGCCAATTTGTGTGGTGTCATCAAAGTATTACAGGAGACCTCTTTAATGCTACTCTGGTGTTTAACTGTTTCCTTCTGGTCGATTCCACCTGTTTTATTGTTTCCTGTTCAACATGACTGGGGAATTAGTATTTCATTGCACCTTGTATAAGAAGCCTATATTCCCTTTGGAGAGGTGGGCTTCAATTGTCTAATTTGGACATGTCTCCCCACCCAATGCCTCAGAACAGGCATTGATTAGTTAGGGGATAACTGATCGCTAGCCCCAGCAGCGCTGAACAGGAAGTAATATTACAAAAACAACTTGGAAAGAAGAGGGGGATACTAATTAAGGCTGCAGGGGGGCCTAGAGTAAAAAGTGGACACAGATTTTTATGATACTGATTGAGACTGGAGTTTGAGTAAACATGACAGAAGGTTCTTGGCTACTGATATATAATATATCACCACCATATTAAACACTATGTGGATCTTCTGTTTTATTCTGCTTTCAGATGATTGGGAAAATAACAATGTTTATTACCACTAAAGCAGCAACCTCTGCTGTCCCCTTCTCCTTTTGCCTCCAATCATTCCCAGCTTCAGGGTCTTCTCCAGTGAGTCCTTCCTTCTCATTAGGTGGCCAAAGTATTTGAGCTTCATCTTCAGTACCTGGCCTTCTAAAGAGCAGTCAGGGTTGATTTCATTTAAGATTGACTGATCTGATCTCTTTGCAGTCCGAGGGACTCTCAGGAGTCTTCTCCAACATCACAATTCAAAGGCATCAGTTCTTGGGCACTCAATTTTCTTTACGGTCCAACTCTCACAGCCATACATTACAACTGGCAAAACTATAACTTTGACTATACAAACTTTTGCCAAGGAATTTACCCTAAATCAATTCTTCCTCCAGGTGCTACAAGGTATTTGCAAGAAAGATCCCGTCATTCCGCATGGTGTTTGGAAATATTTGATAGACATGCATGGGTTTTACAAAACTAACTATTTTAATGATATTAAAGGAGAATGTTCAGGAGTTGCATGCCACATTTCTGGAGAAAAAATGGCTGGGGCTTGATAAGTACCTGTAAGTGAGCCCCCAGTCCAGGATATTATCCACCCCTCTGACTTGGGGTACAGTTGGGTTCCTGGAGGAAAGCTGGTTGACCATCATTGCCACCCAGCTTCTGCAGTCCCTCTGCAGTACTTGTGTTCTTTTGTTCTTTCGGTCGCTTCTCAAATGCTCCAGCTTAATCCTTAGTGCAATTGCTTCTTTTTGCAAATCCTTATGGATGGCGGAGAATGACTTGCAGCTTCTCCTTCAGATCCTCGGGAAAGGTGCAATGTCAAGATGCTGCCTTTGCGAACCAAATGTTGGGCAGGGCCAGTGAAGAAACTCTTTGCCTCAGGAGCAGTTCTCTCTGTTTCCGAGAACGCTCTTCTCCTGTACAAGACACCAGCAGAGGGCCTCTTTCCCTGGTGTCAGACCTCCAAGGCTGGTTCTCCCTCATCTGTGCTGGCTAAATTTCTCAACAGCCCTGGTCTCTTGCCAGCATCACTGTTCCTCTTGGACTTCTATGACTCTTCTATGGCTCTTCTGCCCAACTTGCTGCTGCCTGGCCTTCTCTCTCCACTCTTCCAGGCCTACTATGCTCTCCTTCATTGTATGGAGAACCCCATCTCTGGCCATGATGTTTGGAGCTCTTCCATTCACTTGCCCAATGGACCAGTTTCCCTGCAGCGGTTTGCACTGGGCTGCTTGATGCTGCTTCCTACATCACTGGGAGCACTATTGACAATTCTTGGATTTGGGATGCTTAAGAATGAATATCAATGGATGCTCATGATGTTTCTGTTTTTCATCACACTTTATAAAAAGAAATTCAGTAATTAGAAACTTTGGCCCTTGGGTAACACACTGCTATTTTCAGACACAGCTGGTGTGTGTCTGGGCATACGGAGGTGGCTTTTCAGCGGGGATGAACAGATGTAAATTCTCCCTTCCCAGACAGCCATACAGAGAGAGAGAGAGAGAGAGAGAGAGAGAGAGAGAGAGAGAGAGAGATTTGTCCAGAGTAAACAGTCTTTAAACATTGACCTTTATCCCCAAGCCTTTATCATAAATCTGATTTCTCAGGTCCCAAATAGCCAGGTATTTGGAACCTAAAACACAGCTTATATAATCCTTCCATTTGGGGGGGTGGGGTTAAGATGTTCAGATAGCACATTGCAAATAGGGAGGAAGAGGAATGTTATGTGGGGCTGAGACTGCAGAGTTAAAGGAATTATGCCAATCCACATAGCCTCTAACTCCCAGGAGAGGTAGGAGGGAAGTCATGGATGCTCAATGCAGGCAACATTTCTCTTTTGCAGTGTGTGGGACTGTCATGAGGTTCTCAAGAATTCCATTATCAAAGAATCCTCAAGTAAAAAAGGACATCAAGGATGTATGGTATATTTCCCTCTTGAAAGATTTCACCCTTTCTTCACAGTTGGTTCCAAGGCTTTTCTCAGTTATTAGTTAGCCCCTTCTGGCCCATTACTACAGAATGTCCTGAACATTGTGCAATGAGGGGTGTGTGTGTGCTTGTGGAAGAATGGTCGCACATCATTTTCTCCCCTATTATCTGGAGAGGTAACCAGATCAAAAGACTCAAACTGACTCACACCTGTATAAGCATGCCTGGATTTTCAGACGGGCTTCAGAAATGCTGGTCCCTGACTTACCAATATAATTTATTACATGGATCAGTAAGAGAGACAGATCCTTTTCAGTGGTAGCACCACACCTTTGAAATGCCCTCCCTCGAAAAATATACATGGCCTGACCAAGATCAATTTTTAAAAGGATCTTGAAACTGTTTTAACGTCATGTTGCTTTTGGTTGACATTTTGGTTTTTGAACATCAGTTAATGCTGCTGCTCATTAGAGATTTTTGAAGACTGTAAAGATCATTGTGAACTACATTGTGGGGACAATGCCCTGAAAGTTGAATTAGAAATCATTTTGATTAATATGTGACATAATAAATTTAAGAAGGCTAATAGAAATGCAGCATCTCATTCTGTTCGGCACTGTACCATTTCGGAATTTGTAGAGTTTGGATAAGACACAGGATAAAGGTCCAGTGAGCAATTGAAGGGACACCCTTCATATTCTATGGTGCCAGGTTGTCCCACAAGTAGAGATACATCTTAAAATAAGCCATATCTTCACCAGTCACAAGCAACACACGGGACAAAAAAAATGAGAATTGCATGCAGCAGACCGTTTGTGGGCAATAAAAGGAGTGCTATAAATAAAAACATACTTTGGAAAGGTCAGCATCAAAGAGGTGTATGTTTTAGGTGGGTTTTTTAAAAGCCTTCTAATAAGCCCCAAATGCTTTTTTTCTGTTTCTGCAATTGGGAAGTTTCCTATTATTTCTTTCTTTCTAAGCTCTACATGTACTGGTTAGTAGCAAGAAAGTAAAACCCTTTCTGAGAAGTATTTTTCTTTCTAAAGAAAATGGACTCTCCCCTGCTCAAAGGGATTTAGCCAGAGTTGCTGAAGGCATTATTTTAGTTCCATGGGGTGCTGTGAATTCTTCCATATGTCCAGCTATGCCTTCTGCTTATCACTCGCTCCCTTCTACCAAAATGTGTAGATGAGATTTCTCACTCTTTGGTCACTCAGCTGGTACAGTGACTGGATTCTGGACCCAAATATATGTCATTAGTTGATCAAAGAGATTTACCAAATCTTTTTAGGATTTAGAAAGGTTTCTGTGCCAGGCACTTTTCCTCACTAGAGCCTTGGAAAACGACACGACAAGGAGTAAGCAGTGTGAGCCCCCTTCCCAAAGCTGTGCAGAATGCATTTAATGAAGGGGGTGCTTCTTTTCAGAGAGTGTCGCAAAAGTTCCAAGAGCTACAGATGCAGCAAAGTCCTGAAAGAGTTAACGCCAAGAGAAAAAGATTTGGGTGGGGGGTGTTTGAGTTGACACTTAAATGAGGAGGCGGGGACTCCTGGCTTCTGATTGGCCTCAAGTTCCATCCAAAATCTCCCCCCCCCCCCGCATTTCCCCTCCTCCTGGTCTCTGGGACCCAGGGGAGGGGAATATGGAAGAGTGAGAGAGTGCAAAAATAAACCTCTTATGTCAAAGCAGGGGGAAGAAAGTATAAATACCGAGAGCGCCGAAGCCTGGTTCGGTGCTTCAAAAGCTTTGGAAGGAGCTACCCAGGGAGAGCTAGAGAACTTCCTTGGGAGGAGGGCGGGGGATCTCTGAGAGAGGAAGAGGGAGCGAGAGAGCGATCAGGATTCCCCCAAACCTCTTTCAGCTCCGCGCGTTTTCCCAAGTGGACACCCCGCCTCGCCGCTGCGGCTGCTGCGGGCGGTCGCTCGTGACATCTCGCTTGCAGAGGTGCAAGAGCCGCTGGAGAAGCGAAGCTCGGAAGAAAACCCCCGAGTCTTGGAGGCAAAAAGAGACTCTCTCCACTTCTCCTCGCACACTGGGCAACTTGCTGCTGACTTAGAGCTAACAACAACCGCAGAAAAAGAAAAACAATCTAGCTTCCCTCTTGCTGTCTTCCCTATCGGGGTGTTTGTGTGTTTTCTGCCTGTCTGTCTTTCTGCCTGCCTGTGTGTTTGTTTAATCCATCATCTTTACCTGCAGACTGCAGTTGGCAGATCCGCAGCCTCTCTCACCGGCAGCCGTGTCCGTCCATCCGTGTGTCTGTCTGTCTGTCTCTCCGGGGGTACCGTTTGCTCGCTCCCCCGCTGCCAGCATCCATGCCCCTCTCTCCCCCGCAGCAGCCTCCCTCTAGCAGGCTGCCACCTGCTCTCACCCTCCTTCCCTTGCTGCTGCTCCTGCTGCTGCTTCCCAATGCCTGGGCTCTGTCCATGCAGGACAGAGGCTACCAGGAGGTGGTGCCTGTCTGGATGGCAGCTCCCTCGGCCAGCGGAGGGCAGGTTTCCTTCACCATCGCTGCCTTTGGGAGAGAGTTTCTGCTGCAGTTGGAGCCCGATGCCAGCTTCTTAGCACCCGGGCTGAAGATCCAGCATGTTGGAAGCAAGGTGCCTGCTGGCTTCCTTTCCGAGGAGGAGGAGGAGAAGGACGTGAGGCTACGGAGATGCTTCTACTCGGGGACTGTGAACTTGCAGCCAGACTCCCTGGTGGCTGTCAGCTTGTGCCAGGGCATCCATGGCTCCTTCTTGGTGGATGGAGATGAGTATGTCATCCAGCCCCAAGGCCACCAGAGTGGGGACCCTCTGCTGCAGGTCCACCAACTCCAGAAGAGGGGGTGGTCAAGAGAAGACTCCGGGGACATTCCAGAAAGGGATGCCCCAGCAGAACCAAACAGCACCCCTGGGAGAACCAAGCGCTTCACCTCTCAGGCGCGCTATGTGGAGACCTTGCTGGTAGCCGACACGTCCATGGTCCGGTTCTACGGGGGTGACCTGACGGTAAGATGCTCTTTCGCTCCCAGTTCATTCTAAAGCCTTGAGGCAGCACAGCTGTGCGTGTATGTTTGAAGGACATGTTGAAACCTGTGTGATGTAGTGGCATGTACCAGTGATGATACGAGCTCTGAGCCAGGCGGTCCCAGCTCAATTCCCTCTTGGCCTGAACTCACTGAACCGCTTAGCCACCATGTCCAAAATAATCCGTATTCTGGTTGCAGGGTTAATTTAACAACGACTGGGATAATATCCGCAGGGCACTTGGGGCACACGCTGATTAGCGAGGGTTGCAGCTCACCTGCTATGTAGGCAGCACCTGCCATGCAGCTCACCTGCTTGGCAGGCAGAGGTCCCCAGGTTCAGTTCAGCCCCCAGCATCTCCAGGTAGAGCTGGAAAGACTCCTGCCTGAGCCCTGGACACCTGCTGCCAATCAGGCTGACCAACCCTGGTCTGGACAGACCAACCGTCTGGCTTAGTCTGAGGCATGTGCTCATAACAGCAGCAGTAATGATGGTGCACAGAGCAGCAGGAGCAAAGAGGCTCTGAGGGGAGGAGTCCATGGCATCCATGAGGGGCAAATGCATCTTCAAGGCGGCCCGTTAGCAGAATGAGGATCTGTGCATTAACAGACCCTCGGAGCCGCCACTGCGCAGCAGCTCCAGGTGGCGTTGCCCCCGGTGCATAACAACGCTTCCCCGTGGCATGATGTCACCGTTTCCCCACCCGGCTTCCCATCATCAAACGGCACTGACGGAGGCTGGGGAAATGCACAGTGATCACGTCATGCGTGCAATGCCTCCTCTGTGCTCCAGCAGAGACCCTGAGGCATCAGCAACATGTAGCTCCACCCTGCCCATAAAACTGCAGCTCTGGGAACTGGCTACCATTCCAGCAGATAGGCAGAGGGGGAATAGCTGCATTTTGACCAGTCTGTGCAGACCTTCTGATCTGGCTTTATCTGCATTCTGCCTGGTCAAGTGTCTTAGAAAACGTGAGCGTTCTACCTGGACATAATTTCGTCCCAGGGGAGACAGAACTGCGCTACCTACTTTGTATTCCTTATTCTAATGGATATCGAAACAGCAAGTGTAGACCGTGACTGGTGTCACAGTCGTAAAACACTCAGACAGTGCGACCATTAATGTGTTCACCCTCATAACACCCTGCCTTTCTTAACGGTGCAAGGTCTGTTTTCTTATGTCCTAAATGGTACCTTATACTGTTTTCATCTGACTATTGGTAAAGTCGGACCATTGTACTGTTTAGCATGAGTTGGAAAAGAGACAGCATCTTGTCACATAGCTTAGATTTCTGGCCCTGGGGAGCATGTTTTGGAGCTGGGGGATGAAGGAAACCTCCTCCTCCCTTTTCTCCATGGATGAAAATAGCCACTTGAAGGAGGAGTTCTGCAGATTTCAAAAGAGCTGCTTGCATGAGTAATTCTGTGTCAGACAGTGTGAAAGTCTGATTCAACTGCACTAGCTCGAAATGAGAAATTCCAGCCCTGAATCTGTGCACAAGAAGGACTCTCATTTCTGCTGAACAGCTACTTCCACAGTGGAGAAATTAGGCAATAATTATATTAAGGACATATTATTCATATTAAAGGGGAGAAGAAAACAGATGTGCATAGTTCATTCCAGTGTTTGGATGCTGTTGCTGCTGCTGATCTCGACTTGCCACAATTTTAGGGCTAAAGTTCTTTAGTTTGGGGAATTACTAGCAAAGAGAATAATTGTTTGGGGAGAACAATTGGGTAGAATTACTGATATTTTAAATGTGAACATTTGCTGTACAAAGAAATGAAAGTTCCTCACTGTATATAGTATTCACATGGAACTAAACACAGATAGAGAGAATTGCTGGATTAAGTAAAACTTAAAAATTTAAGGCTAGAGAATTTTTAATCTTTAAAGCAGAGAGCTGTCTGAGAAAGACTTTCCAATGTGCACCAATATCCATGCATTCACACATATGCAAACACACTGCAGTTGCTCCATGGTTGCTCTTGACAAAACAGACCCTGCAGGTTTTTGAAATAATTCAAAAGCCTGCCAGACCTGTTTACCAGGGACAATGGTGAGATGGATGTGTGTATACCACAAGCAATGATCCCTTTTACAAAATGACTGTGGGGGGGGCACTCTAGAATACTTAAAGAAATATAATCAAGTTGAACTAATTTCATCCAATCAATCATCTTGCTGTAGAATTGGCCTATTTCAAATATTGGATTATCCCCTTAATCCTATTCGCAACTGAATGGAAGTGTAAATATACTAATTTTCATGAATTTGTCCTATGTGCTTCTTCCTTTTCCTCATTCTGTTCACACATATGCGCACACACACACGATTTCTGCTTTGTCTCCTCTACTTTGATTTAAATAACAAGCACATGTGTTAGTGCCATGTGAAGAAGATGCCTTGTACACCATCCTAACAGCTGATTAAGCCTATAGGCTCCCTACAAAAATGACAACTCCCCACCCACTCCACGCACACACACACACACACACTTCAATCCAGGCTCTCTTTGGGAATTTTGCCTACTGCAGTGGAATGTCTAAACATGGCAAAACATGAATCATAAATCTGTACAGTGACTGAGAAACTTCATGCTTTTCCAAAAATAGGAGCACTCTAGATCGGAGAAGTCTTGATTTTAAAAGATGGGGCTTTTCCTCTTATTCTCAGTGTTATTTATTAATTACATTTTATACTGAACTCCCCCTACCAGAAGTGACATTCATCATGTTCTCAAGTAGTTTCCCATCCAACCATGGATGAAAGCCAGACTTGCCTAAATTTCAGCAAAATTACTATTTCGTATGCCTTCACACAAAGCTCTAAGGACTTGTGTATCAGGGTTCTCAAATCAGTATTTGCAAAGGACTTTATTAAGTACCTTCTTAAGAATCTTAAAATGTACCATATCAGTACTCAAAATGTAGCTAAGATGGGATACACTCACATGTAAGTGTGTGTGTGTTTGTGTGCATGCATGCAAAATGTGAATGCATACATTTAAAAGTGTCTGTGGTTTTCCACAAATAAGTGTGCAAGATGCATGTTTTCTCAGCATAAAATCTGGATTAAAAGAGTGGAGCACACAGGTGAGGGTCTCATTCAGCCAAGGGCTGGGGGCACAGGTGCATCTGGAGGTTCACCCCAGGGGTATCCCAAAGCAAACGTGGCCGCCTGGTGCCATCATTATATGTTTTTCAGTGCCAGATTAAGACCTTTTTATTTAATCAATATTTTAATAAGTTTCAATATTAAATTTTATCATCATATTTTAATCGCAGCCAGACTGGGTCATTAATTAATTTATGTTATGTTAGGTTTTTGTATTTTATTTGTGTAAGCCGCCCTGAGACTCTTGCAAAGGACGGCATACAAATATCTTAAATAAATAAATATTCCGTGGGAAGCAGTGGGAGGCCTCTACCAACTTGGAACAGTGGCTTTTCCTCAGCTTCCTGCCAACAGCATCATTCCCAGATTTCAGAATGAGATTTTGAAGTTAGGATGGTATCACAGGCAACCTTAGTTCTGAATTTGAAATAGGCGCACTCGGAGACTGGCGGGACTTCAGGAGAGGGAAAAGAAGGAAGCAGTGCTTCACGGCACGCATGGAATTCACTTCCACAAGCTGAAGTAATGGCTGCCAATTTGGTCAGCTGTAAAAGGGGACTAGACCAAGTTCTGGAGGAGAAGGTTATTCATGGCTGACAACCATAGCTGCCTCCAGTATCAGAGGAAGTATGCCCATGACCAGCAGATGCTGGGCACCATGTCTGGAGCATGTGCTGTGGTTTTCCCGTGAGCAGCTGACTGGCCGCAGAATGCTAGAGAATGGTGATGATGGTGCTTACATGGCGTTCAAGTCCTGCCTTTTTTCTCTTGCAAGGAACCAAAGACAATGCACGTAACTGCATGTTATCCTCATAATAACAACCCTGGGGCATAGGATAGGCAGAGAGGGAGTCACCCAGCGAGCTTCATGGCCATGTGTGGATTAGCACCCAGACTGCCCAAGTCTCCAGTCCAGCCGTTGAAACACCGTACCACACTGGCTCTCTTAGATGGACCCTTGCCTGATCCAGCATGGCTGCTCCAGGCTCCACTTCTCCTGCTGTCCAACAGGTGACCCACGTTGTGTTGAGCAACAGACGGAGGTAGTACAGAGCACCCTCTCCTGCCCAGACGTTGCAATGTACGAAAAAATGTATTAGGCAAATTTGTCCAAATTGGGGCCAATTTGAACAAATAAGTTCATGCAATTTGCTCCAAGTCAAATTTATGTAAATGCATTTGTGCAAATTCTGAGTCCATGAATGGGCAGACAAGAGTGCCAAAGCCACCAAAAAATCTGCAAAGCATGGGCAGTGTGACCTTAGTTCTGTTTGAATGTCCCTAGACTCAGCAGAGTTTCATTCTGGCATCTTGGAATAATTAACAAAGGCAGAGTAAGATAAATATGGAGCCTAGGAAGAGTGCTTCCTTACTAAGAGCCAAAGCAACTATGACCAGACAATTAATTATTCATTCTAACCAACCTCGATTTAATTGTATTGTTATACAAGCAGGAAATGCACAGAGATCATGTGTGAGGGGGAGAAAAGCATGCCACAAATTCTGAACAATTTTGCGACCTTTGATTTTTGCTCTATTTTTTTTTACTATGTGTTCAAACATCAAACAAAGAGTAAAGTATTACAGCGAATTTGTAACGAATCTATTTGAGTGAATTTGTGTGTGTGTGTGTACACCATGCAACCCTCTATGATGTAAATATAGCAAGACATGCTAATAGTCTTAGACTTCCAGCTATCCGTGCATTTGCACATTAATTAAGTACATCTAAAATTCACCCATGCATTCATTCATTCATTCATTCATTCATTCATTCCATCTGTATCCCACTTATCCTTCAGAGGGCTCAAGGTGGTGTGCACTGTTCACCTTTGCCCTGCCACTTTATCCTGACACCAACCTGT